ACTGAGGAGAAGCATCTCAGGAGAATAGAAGGGCGGTAAAGATCTCCACATCCCCACACCTGTGTGTGCCCGAATGGAAGAGGCTTTTTTGTTGGCTTTTGTTGGTGGTATTTTAGCCATATTTCAGACTGGGAGACCAACACTGCGTTTCTTTTTGTTGTCCTGTTGGGGAAAGACCTACACTCCACGTCATCCACAATCCAATAAGGAAAACGGACTTGAATCCAGAGAAAACCCTCTCAGTTCCCAGTTAGGTGAGTCCAAGGAGGGGAAGTGTGGGGAGAGACAGAGACAGAGAGAGACAGAGAGACAGAAGAAGAAAGAAGAAGAAAGAAGAAAGAGAAGAAGGAGAAGAAGGAGAAGGAGGAGGAGGAGGAGAAGAAGAAGAAGAAGAAGAAGAAGAAGAAGAAGAAGAAGAAGAAGAAGAAGAAGAAGAAGAAGAAGAAGAAGAAGAAGAAGAAGAAGAAGAAGAAGAAGAAGAAGAAGAAAGAATGTGATACTGAGAGACAGAGATAGATTGTGTATGGGAGAGAGGAATAGAGAAAGTTGTGTGTGTCTGTGTGTGTATGAGCATGAGCGAGAAAGAGAGGAGGGAAAGATGGATAGAACAAGAGTGGGAGAGAAAGAGAGAGAAAGCTGCAACCCTGTCCTCTGACCAGCTCAGAGCCAATTCTCCTTAGCCTGAGGTAGCAGAGTTCTGTGCTGTAATAGCATGTTTGCTAAATGAATGATTCCTTTTGGCAACTGCATAGTACGTTGGTGTCACTTTGCTGCTTCATTGCTGATGATCGGTTATAGTCTAAATTATAAATGACATATCAGTGCCAGAAAATGTACCAAAATCTTGTTTCTTTCTTTTTTTTTTGGTGGCAGATGCAGCTGTACTCAAGGTTTACTCCTAGTTTTGCACACAGGAATCACTTCGGGGAAGATCAGTGAGCCAAATGGAATGCTGAAGATTAAACCTGGGTCTTCTCTATGCAAGGTAGACACCCTACCTACTGTCCTATCTCTCAGGTCCCCAAATTTTACTTCTAAAGTGTTATTATTAACCACAAGCCACCAAAAAATTTAGAGACATTTCCATGAGTCAGAGTGGAGGTGGAGTGGGTAGGTTGTAACCAGGATGTCCTGAATGTCCTTCCATGCCCAGGACAGACCAGTATGGGAAAAAAATAGGCTCAAATGTCAGTAGTACTAGACTGACAAACCCCTGACATGAAAGAAATTACCATTCGTAGTATTTGTAGTTGCCTGTAATTTTTTTCTATGACTAGAATTTTTTTTCTATGACTAAAATTTTTTTCTGTAATCTTCCTTTTTGGAGGTTACATCCAGTGGTGCTCAGGGCTTATTCCTGGCTCTGTGCTCAAAGACCTTTGACTTGGGTTTATTATCTTGCATTCATTTTATTTCATTTATTTCAATGTTAAGATTTGCATTGACAGATGTGTGCATTTACTAATATTGTAAAGAATGTAAAAGTAAACACAGAAATGGAAGTTCCTGCTTTCTGGGTCATGCATTTCAATGGAAGAGACAGAGGATAGTGAGATGAGTGTAAGTATGAGGCAGCCCTAGAAAGCACAGTCATAAAGGAAGCCTTCAGTATAAAATGATGGAAGGGTCAGGGTCCAAGCAGGGTTGATGATTTTACACAGAAATTTGATGTGGAATAAAATTCATAGGACTAGGATGTCCCCAAGGAATTGCCAATAAAAGAGACCAAAACATCAAGTCCAGGTTTAATGAAGAAAAATAATGTCCCATTGTGGCTGGAGATACAGTACAGCGGGTAAGGCACTTGCCTTGCATGCAGCCAAACTGGGTTCGATCCCTGGCATCGCATATATACCCCTGAGAACTTTTAGGAGTGATTTCTGAGTCCAGAGCCAGGTGTGGCCCCCAAAATACTATATATATATATATTTCCTATCCTAAAAGGGAGGAAAGAGTTTGCCTCATTCCTGATAAGACCATTACAATTGTTTTGTTTGGTCTGGTTTAGAGGTGATACTCAGTAGTACTCAGGACTTACTCCTGGTTTCTGTGCTCAGAAATCACTCCTGGCGGTATCCAGGGGTCCCAGTGGGGTTCTGAGGATGTAACCTGTGTCAGCAGCACACAAGTCAAGTGCCTTATCCCCTGTTTGATCCTTCTGGCCAGACCACATCACAATGATCTGAGGATTAGATTCAAGAAAATATTTCTTTGACTTGATCTAAGGCCAAATGGGCCAAAGAAAGAGTCCAGGGAGGTTATGGTGCTCTAAAGATGACCAGGCCAGACCCCAGGTATCTTCCTGGCCCCACATGGTTCCCTCTGAGCAACCCAAGCACCATTAAATCTGGCCATAACAAACCCTGAGGATACTATGGTGGCCTTTGTGTTCCCAAACACTTTAGGGTTTTAGCAACACTCTTCTCAGGCCATCACATGGAGACAGTTGTGTGGTTAGCTGAGAATCCCTTGGAACTGCTACAAGCCCCGGGATCATCATTTTGGAAGCCCTTTTTCCCACTCTCTTTAAAATATCCAATTTGGGGGCTAGAGAGGTAATCCAGCTGGGAAAAACACCTGCCATGTATGCTACAGACTGGGGTTTGATCCCTAGCACCACATAGGGGCCCTGGAACTTGCCCAAAGTAATCTCTGAGTGAAGAGCTAAGAGTAAGCCCTGAGCACCATCCGGTGTGGTCTAAAATTCCAAGCCCCAAATGCACTGTAACACTGTTGTCCTGTTCATCGATTTGCTCGAGCAGGCACCAGTAACGTCTCCATTGTGAGGCTTGTTACTGTTTTTGGCATATCGAATATGCCATGGGGAGCTTGCCAGGCTCTGCCGTGCGGATGGAATACTCTCAGTAGCTTGCTGGGCTCTCCGAGAGGGATGGAGGAATGGATGAGTGCAAGGCAAATGCCCTACCTGCTGTGCTATCACTCCAGCCCAAAATAGCTATAAAAAAAAAAACAAATATCCAACTTTGTTGAACTGTGTGCTTTTCAATATGTGATGTGTGGGTTTATCTCTGACTTATTTTCTGTTACGAACAATATGCAAAGTGTTTGTCACATAAGCATTGGGCTGCACTTGTCTTTGTAAAAAGTTTGGTGAAAATTATATTTGCTGCATGCAAAAGTCTCTATAATCGGAGTACCAAAACAGGTAGAATCAACAAAGAATTCTTTTTTGGGGTCACACCCAGCAATGCTCAGGGGTTACTCCTGGCTCTGCACTCAGGAATTACTCCTGGCGGTGCTTGGGGGACCATATGGGATGCCGGGGATCGAACCCAGGTCGGCCACGTGCAAGGCAAACGCCCTACCCACAGTGCTATCGCTCTGGCTCCAAGAATTTTTTTCTTGAGGTATCTCCAGAGAACAACTGTGCTGACTAGATCTTAAAATTTGGGCCTCACCCATTCTGTTCCCTTTCTTCTCTTTCTGCTTATTAACATTTTATATTTATTGAATGCCATGGATAACTATAACCACTCCAATATGGAGCCCAAATTTTAATAGTTAAATTAATAAACTGGCAAAAAAACCCAAAACCAAAAAAAAACCTAAACACTAATAAAAATGATTCTTAGAATTTTTAAAAACTATAGTGGACATGGAGGAGAAAGGAAATGGTGGTTTTAATTGAATAAGAATCAGCAAACCCACAGGGTACATGTCTTGCATGTGAGTGCATGAGCGTGCGTGTGTGTGTGTGTGTGTACATGTGTGTGTGTGTGTGTGAATGTGTGTGTGAAGGGAGAGAATCCTCAAGGTAAGTGTGTCTGAGATGTTATAAATGTTATAGATGGTAAAAGATGGATCTCATACTACAGGGACCAGAATTCATCGTCAGAAAGGACTATGAGAAATCAATGAATGACATGTGCAACAAAATTAAGACAGTGCAAGATTTGGGGCTGGAGCAATAGCACAGTGGGTAGGTTGTTTGCCTTGCACACGGCCAACCTGGGTTCGATTCCCAGCATCCCATATGGTCTCCTGAGCACTGCCAGGAGTATTTCCTGAGTGCAAAGCCAAGAGTAACCCCTCTGCATTGCTGGGTGTGACCCTTCCATCCTCCCCGCAAAAAACAGACAGTGCAAGATTGCCATAGGCTGGATGAAGAGTTATAGATGTTAGAAATTTTCAGGCTGGCAGAGAGACCACAGGCTAAATTACATGTCTAAAACCATCTCCTACATCTCCCCATTCTTCAGTCAACTTCCAGTCTTGCCTTCACTGTTTTTACTTGAACATTTTAAACAAGCACCTTCCATAAGGCACTTGTATCACCCGTTCCCTTTCCAGATGCATTTCCTCTGCATAACTCATCATCATTCTCCCAGTCTTACCTATTCATTGTATGAATGACACTTGTGTGTAGGTTTTGCCAAAACTATGCTCTTCACCATATCCCTGCTTTTCTTATTTTTCTTCTTCTTATTTTTTGGCCATACCCAAGGGTGCCCAGGGCTTACTCTTGATTCTAAATTCAGAGATTACTCTTGGTAAGGCTCAGGAAACCCTATGGGTTGCCCGAGGTTGAACTGGATAGGCCATGTGCAAGTCCAAATGGTTGACTCACTGTCTATTGCTCTGGCCCTACTTTGTCTTTTAAAAAGTTACCTCTGACCCTCTGCAATTTTAAAACATTTTATTCTCTGCTTGTGTCTTTGTTCTTCATCCCTGAGTAGTGGAGACTTTGATTTCCAGGATCCAGACCCATTGCTTAGAGACTAATACATAGAGAGAACTTACAATTGATCTCTTCAATACATAAGGAAACTCACATTAAATTGCAGGATGCATGAGTCTGATTAAAAAGTTATTTGTAACAGTGTCCAACTGTTACAAAGAGTAAGAGATCCACACCAGAAATAATAAAAGTAATTTCTTGTTTTCAATCATTACTTGTTGCATTTCAAATATGTGAGTAATGCAGGCTAATATGATCATTAATGGTGTTTATTCTTATTTCTTAGATGAAAACCAGTAACATGAAACCAGAAAATGATTCACACATTTCAGAATTTATTCTTTTGGGATTTTTAGAGGAACCAGAACTGCACTCCATCATATTTGTGCTTTTCCTGTCCATGTACCTGATCACCATCTTTGGGAACCTGCTCCTCATCCTGGCCGTCATCTCAGACCCCCACCTCCACACGCCTATGTACTTCTTCCTGTCCAACCTGTCCTTTGTGGACATCTGTTTCACCTCCACCACAGTCCCTAAGTTACTGGTGAACATACAGAAAGAGTGTAAAGTTGCAACCTATGAAAGTTGCATCACTCAGATGTATTTCGTCAACGTGTTTGCAGTGTTAGATGATTTACTTCTCACCGTGATGGCCTATGATCGTTTTGTGGCCATCTGCCACCCCCTGCACTACACGGTCATCATGAGCCCCCGAATCTGTGGACTTTTGGCTGTGGGATCTTGGACCGTGAGTTCCCTTGTTTCACTTTTGCATAGCTTACTCACTCTAAGGTTGTCCTTTTGCACAGATTTGGAAATCCCCAACTTTTTCTGTGACCTCAAACAGATGGTCCAGCTTGCCTGTTCTGACACCTTACTTAATAATGTGGGGATTTATCTGTCAACTGTGCTGCTGGGTGGCGGTCCTCTGGCTGGGATCCTTTACTCTTATTCTAAGATTGTCTCCTCCATAAGTAAAATCTCATCGGCCCAAGGGAAATATAAAGCCTTCTCCACTTGTGCTTCTCATCTCGCCGTTGTCTCCTTATTTTATTGCACTAGTCTGGGCGTGTATCTTAGCTCTGCTGCCCCCCACGGCTCACAGTCCAATTCAATCGCCTCCATGATGTACTCTGTGGTCACCCCCATGCTGAACCCTTTCATCTATAGTTTGAGGAATAACGACATAAAGAGGGCCCTGAAAGCTTTCTTGCTGAAGGGACAGTTCACCTAGGATGGAGGAGGTGTCCTTAATTGCTGAGAAGAAGCTTTTAGAGAAGAGACTGTAATTATATATCCTAGTTCATATGTAAAACTTGCTTTCTGTTCACTGGATTTTTGACCTCTTGACCTCACTTCTATTTACTTGATGTAATTTTACTGGTCAATCTTTCCATACTCTCTGATATCCAACAATTTTCCAATTTATTTTATTTTATTATCTTATTTTTGCTTTTTGGGTCATACCTGGCGATGCTCAGGGGTTACTCCTTGCTCGGCACTCAGAAATCACTCCTGGTGATGCATGGGGGACCATATGGGATGCTGGGAATCAAACCCGGGTCAGCTGCTTGCAAGGCAAATGCCCTATCTGCGGTGCTATGGCTCCAGCCCCAATTTTCCAATTTTTTAACCAATATTTTCAAATTTATTTTCTGCCAGGGATTATATATTTGATCATATATATATGTGTGTTTGTATATATATATATCTCATATATATATCTACATATATGTATATGTTTGTGAATATCTTTATACCTAATAGATGGCAGTTTTTTTAGGGAAAAATAAAATAAAAATATGTAAAATATGTATCTCATACCAAATATTTTCTTTTGCTTGTTAAATGATCATCTCAAACTTTACTACTCTAATCGTGAACAAACTATATTGATGAGCACATTGATTTACATAATTTATAATAGAGAAAATCTGGGATCACTTGTACTTTTAGAGTTAAACTTCTGAGTATGTTTGATCTTTTCAATAAGGTAGACTGAAACTTAGAAGTTTGTTTTTTACTGATTCCTGGGTTAATTATCTTCTGTAGGATTGTTTTCTTTTATAATATTGTACACAGTGCTAGTTTTAGGTCACTTACAAAATGATTATCAAGAGTTTTGTCCTCAAGAGCAGTCTTCATTGCCAGACATAAAATTATAAACAGATGGAGTGAATATCCACCTCAGTGACCTAAAATATGAAGTCCATTTTCAAGCTTTACATTGTCTGACTATGCAAATTATCTCTTGTTCATGGAGTACATATACTCAGAGGATTAGGGAGGATGAATGCCTATTTGTAAGCAGGTTGGCATGTAGGGGGCTATTTTTATAGAATAATTTTGTTTGGTTTGGAAATATCCGTTGCTGTCTTGGTTATGACTCATTTGTCAATTAAAATTCAATGTCATCACCTTCTATTTATTCTTTTTTTTTTTTTACAGTTGTAGATTTACAATTTTTTTTGTGCTTGGGTTTCAATTATACAATGATCAGATACCCATCCCTCCACCAGTGCCCGTTTTTCACCACCATGGATAATATCCCTCCCACCCCCATCCCCCCATCCCCCCCTGCCTCTGTGGCAGGGCAATCCCCTGTGTTCTCTCTCTCCGTTTGGGTGTTGTGGTCTGCAAAAGATGCATTGAGTGGCAAACATGTTCAGTCCATAGTCTACTTTCGACATGCATCTCCCCTCCTGGGAGGATCCTCCAAACATCCTTTATTTGGTGCTCCCTTCTCTATCTGAACTGCCCTTTCCTCTAGGATACCCGGCTGGCCTCTAAGTTATGGAGTAATCCTCCTGGTGCTGATCTCAGCTATTCTTGGGTATTAATCTCATACTTTGTTACTTTATATCCCCCAGATGAATGCAATCTTTCTATGTCTATCCCTCTCTTTCTGACTCATTTCGCTTAGCATGATACTTTCCATATTGTACCACTTGTATGTAAATTTCATGACTTCATCTTTTCTAACAGCTACATAGTACTCCATTGTGTAGATGTACCAAAGTTTCTTTAACCAGTCATCTGTTCTTGGGCATTCAGGTTTCTTCCAGTTTCTGGCTACTGTAAAGAGTGCTGCAATGAACAAACAAGTGCAGATGTAACTTCAACTATACATTTTTGCTTCTCTGGGATATATTCCCAGGAGTGGTATTGCTGGGTCAAATGGGAGCTCAATTTCTAATTTTTTGAGAATCGTCCATACTGTTGTCCAGAAGGGCTGAACCAGTGGACATTCCCACCAACAGTGAAGGAGTGTCCCTTTCTCGCCACATCCACGCCAGCATTGGTTGCTTTTGTTCTTTTGAATGTGGGCCAGTCTCTGAGGTGTGAGATGGTATCTCATTGTGGTTTTGATCTGCATCTCTCTGATGATTAATGATGTAGAGCATTTTCTCATGTGCTTTTTTGCCATTCGGATTTCTTCTTTGAGAAAGTTTCTGTTCATTTCATTGCCCCATTTTTGGATGGGGTTGGATGTTTTCTTCTTGTGGAGTTTAACCAGTATTTTGTATATCCTGGATATCAACCCCTTGTCAGATGTGTATTCAGCGAATATCCTTTCCCATTCTGTAGACTGTCTTTGTATTTTGGTCACTGTTTCTTTGGAGGTGCAGATGCTTCTTAGTTTAAGATAGTCCCATTTATCTATCTCTGTTTTCACTTGCTTGGCCAGTGGCGTGGCATCTTTGAAGATACCATTAGCTTCAATGTCATGGAGGGTTTTGCCAACTTTGTCTTCAATGTACCTTATGGTTTCTGGTCTGATGTTGAGGTCTTTAATCCATTTTGATCTTAACTTTTGTACATGGTGTTAGGCAGAGTTCTGAGCCTATTTTTTTGCATGTAGCCATCCAATGATGCCAACATAATTTATTAAAGAGGCTTTCCTTACTCCACTTCACATTACTTGCACCTTTATCAAAGATTAGATGATCATATGATTGAGGGGAGATGTAAGTGTATTCAACCCTGTTCCATTGGTCTGCAGTTCTGCCTTTGTTCCAGTACCATGCTGTTTTAATTATTACTGCTTTGTAGTACAGTTTGAAGTTAGGGAGGTTGATTCCTCCCATTTTCTTTTTCCCAAGAATTGCTTTAGCTATTCGTGGGTGCTTATTGTTCCATATAAATTTCAGGAGTGTTTGCTCCATTTCTTTGAAGAATGTCATGGGTATCCTTATAGGGATTGCATTGAATTTATACAATGCTTTCGGTAGTATTGCCATTTTGACAATGTTAAGTCTCCCGACCCATGAGCAGGGGATATCTTTCCATTTCCTCATGTCCTCTTTTATTTCCTGAAGTAGCGTTTTGTAGTTTTCTTTGTACAACACCTTCTATTTATTCTTAAAACTGCACTGTAGCACTGTCCTCCCGTTGTTCATCAATTGCTCTAGTGGGCACAGTAACGTCTCCATTGTGAGACTTGTTACTGTGTTCGGCATATCAAATATGTCGTGAGTAGCTTGCAGGCTTTGCTGTGTGGGTGAGATACTCTCGGTAACTTGCCGGGCTCTCTGAGAGGGGCTGAGGAATTGAACTCGGGTCGGCTGGGTCGGCTGCATGCAAGACAAACACCCTACTGCTGTGCTATCGCTCCAGCTCTGTCTTTTTAAAACCGTTTTTAAAAATATAATCTCCTTCCACCACATTTAATTCTGGTGTATGTAACAGGAACTAGTAAACATAATGTCAGATAATTTCAATTAAGAAATAAAATACATGATTATTTTCATAACCTCTTCTGCATACAAAAGTCTATGATTTGCTGAAGGATCAGATCATTTTTGACAGTGAAGTATTTAAATTTATTAAGGTATACATATTATTTCTATTTATTTAATTTTCATTTTTGTTCTATTTTATTTGGGAAATATGATCTAGCACAGAAAGTAGGGCGTTTGCCTTGCATGCGGCCGACCCAGCCAACCCGAGTTTGATTCCTCCACTCCTCTCAGAGAGCCCTACAAGCTACAGAGAGCATCTCACTCACACAGCAAAGCCTTGCAAGCTATCTGTGACATATTCAATATGGCAAAGACAGTAACAACAAGTCTCAAAATGTTACTGGGCCTGCTTGAGCAAATTGATGAACAACAGGAGGACAGTGTTAATGTCAAGATTTCATGATAAATTTGTCACATATTACTATCACAAATTTAATAGACATAGTATAAGCAGAATATTTTTATGTGCTGGGAAGTGAAAATATTCGTGTCACTTTGTTGCAATATTTTTACTGATATAGTCTCAAACCAATGATGCAAAATGTGCCTGCCATTTGTCCTGACGGTAATCTTGCATTCTAACAATTAGGTATTTTGGTTAACATCATGAACATTTATGTCTACTTCCTTCTTAACATTTGCAAAATTCTGACATTATTTATTTCTGTTATTTTTGTTTGTTTTGGGGTCACAGTGATGTTCCAGAATTACTCTTGACTCTGGGCTCAGGCATTACTCCTGGGGGTCTTGGGGAACCTTATGGGATGCTGGCGATTGAATTTGGGTTGGCCGTGTGAAAGTCAAATGCCTTATCTGTTATACTATTACTCCAGCCCCCTATTTCTTTAAATAATAATTATGTTTCTCTTTCCTACTCTTCTCTTTAAATATTTTTATGTTTATGATATTTCTCTGGTAGTCTGATTGTTCTCACATGGTTTCTTTACATTGGAAATTTTAGTTTTATCTTCTGATATTTTCTAAATTCTCAAGATTATGTTGTGCAATCTTTCATTTTATCTATCTCTTCAATGATTTATAATAAAATTTCAACTATTTTTTAGAGCAAACACTCCTGAAATTTATATGGAACAATAAGCACCCACGAATAGCTAAAGTAATTCTGGGAAAAAAGAAAATGGGAGGAATCAACCTCCCTAACTTCAAACTCTACTACAAAGCAGTAATAATTAAAACAGCATGGTACTGGAACAAAGGCAGAGCTGCAGACCAATGGAACAGGGTCGAATATACTGACATCTCCCCCCAAGCATATGATCATCTAATCTTTGATAAGGGGGCAAGAAATGTGAAGTGGAGCAAGGAAAGCATCTTTAACAAATTTTGCTGGCAAAACTGAACAGCTACATGCAAAAAAGTGGGCTCAGATCTTTCCCTAACACCAAGTACAAAAGTAAGATCAAAATGAATTAAAGACCTCAACATCCTCAACATCAGACCGGAATCCATAAGGTACATTGAAGACAAAGTT